ATCTAATTTTCAAATCTTAAAGCGTCGGTGGGATTAAATTTAACTTCAGTTCAAAAAAGTGTAACTTAAATTAAGATTTGAATTTATCAACAATTGTCTATTTTATTAAATAACGTTCGATTTCTTCAAAATTAATACTAAGACTTTAGTTTCAATAACTTCTGTGATTCCACCTGGATGTGATTGGAATATCTCTGCCCCCAAGTGAAAGATAAGAGAAATTATTGTGTTTTTTTTTTTTTTTTTTTGTTAAAACTCCTTTTTGATTTTTCTATTTTAATAAAAAAATTTTAATAAAATTTCAAAGTAGGAAGGAGCTTTTTTTAAATAAAAAAACTAAAGTTAGGTTTTTTAAATAAAAAAATTAAAAAGAAACTTTTTCATTGCTGTTAGCTCCTTACTAACCTTTTTATTTTAAAATTTTTATTATTTAATATGTCATATATATAAAAAGTAATAGAGAAATTGAAAAAATGTCAAACTTTAAATTTTAAGAACTAAAAAAGAATTTTTTAAATAAAAAAATTAAAAATAATTTTTTGTTAAAATAGAGAGAACAAAATAAAGTTTTAACTTTGTTTTTTTCCACAACATCCATAAAGGAAGAGAAATTTGGAATCATGGAAAAGCCATTAGTTAAGTGAATTGGCAAATGGGTAAAATGATTCTTCGCCAAGATAAAATGTATTAATTGAATTGAAGATTCTTATCTACATAGGCATAGGGAAGAGCACATATGCACATGTAGAAGTGGGCAACGTGCTGTCCCAAATAATCAAAACCCATGAAAAACAGTGGATTACTTTGGACAACAGGCGGAGGAATAATATATGATGTTAAGAACCGGACTTTTAAGTTCAATGGTTCGACCCTAAACCTTAAGTATGTGGGTGAGGTGGTTGGAATTTCGAGTTTCACCATCGTCATAAACTCCACCAAAAAATGGTTTGATGGTCACGCGCCTCATTTGAGAACCAGTCGCTAACAACTAATTTATACAACCTAATCATTAACTTGTCAAAATATATATATATATATATATATGATGTTAGGAGGACAGGAGTGGGTGAAACTTTTACAGGGACAAAGGTAACATTTCTGGTCAAGAACAAGAACCAGAACCAGAACCAGAACCAGATCCAGGTTCCTTATATGTACGCATGATTTGCTTTAATGGAATAATGTTATTATTATTATATAACATATACTGTCAAAAATGGGTATCCGAATGTGCGTCACGTGGGCTTTTGGGTAGCTCCCACTTCTACCTACTCTTCCCAAAAAAGAAGGTTAAATTCTAAATTTGGTCTTTAAACTATTGTACGGACTCTCAATTTGATTCATAAATTAAAAACATCCTTAATTTGGTCCCTGAACTATTGTACGAACCTCCAATTTAATCCTTACTGTTTATCAATTTGCCCCAAATTAATCCTTCCGTACAAAAAAAACTGACGTGTTTAGTATTTAACAGCATAAAACAGTAACTTAACGATCACATGTCACGTTAATAACAAGACACGTTAGCTGCTTTTGTATAAAAAGATCAACTTGAGGCAAATTGATAAACAGTAAGGATCAAATTGGGGATCTGTACAATAATTTAAGGATTAAATTAG